TCCAACAGTGAAGAACATTTTGGCTACCCTGTTTTTTATTGTTTGTTTGCTTAAATTATTTTCTGTTGACCATAAAGGACAGATATTTTTTTTTAAGTTCATTGTTGGGTTTCACAGATGTAGGTTTAAGGAGATTATGTATGCTTTAGGATTTAACATCTACCAACATGCTGTTCATTTTGCCTGATATCACGGGGGACTAGTTCTTTCATTTGCAATTTATAAATCCTCATCTTCAGACTTTGGTTTTCAGATAGCTGGATGTTTGAAACATCCAGCATTTATTAATTTAATGCATTTTTTTCTCAGATCAACTAAGTATTTATTCAACTATCATGATATATGATAGGTCCAGGGTTTTGAAATTTAAATAGAATAGATAATGCTAACCTGGTAGGTTGTTGAGGAGTCACCTTGGGAGCCCTCCCTTAGTTTGATGCATGTTTGATGAAAAATGCTGTTTTTGTGTGTCCTGTACTGATAAATCTGGTGATTAGCGTTCCAAAAGGACAACAGCAGAAGCTCAAAAGCCCATATCCAATCTTTTTTCCTTCCAAAAACCTTGCATCTGGAATGAAGAAGCCAAACTTGTGCTGTCTGTGCCTAATAAGACCCTAAGTGTTTGCAGAGGTGGTAAACAAAGGTGTGGCTGAGTCTCATGTCAAGTTTGTCTCATGATACCTCAGACAAATGTCTGTAAATGTGTCTGCTGTGGCTCATACAGAGTCTTACACTCCATGCAGACCTATTTTTCATATTCCTGCAGGAGCAGCTCCATACACTGTGCTTGATAAATACATCCTTTATTCCCTATAGAAGTCTAGATCTTGAGATTATACCAGATTCTGATCCCGTTGTATGTGGGACAGAGCTGCCAGGTCCAGGGAGAACAGGGGCTCTCCAACATTTGCTGTGCAATAAATTATAACCTGCTCATAAAGCAGGACGCCTGAAACATTAAAATGTGAGACATCAAAATACGAGCCTTGCTTGAAATGCCTGAGTTAGCTAAATCTCTATGCTGCTTTCAAATATGTTGCCTATTATTTTATAATTAAAGCTTGAAATTATTTTATATATGGTGCAGTGACTGACTTCAGAATGGAGAATTTTAAAAATCCCTATGAGAGAAAGCTTCATAATAATTAATACTGTTATGCTAGAAATTTGTAAATAACCCTGTTTCTTTCTCAGTGGTTTTCATTCTGCTCTTGCCAAGCATTTTCCTATGCTGTGTTTCTTGTGCTATGAGAGCCATTCTGAATTGCTGATAGGCTCAAAACTCAAGTAGTTTGTGCTCAAATGACCAAATGCCTTGATTTGATAATTCTAAGCTGGGGTGCTATGCGTTTTCAAAATGCAGTCTAGCATTTTACAGGGGGCTGCAGGCCACTATAGTCTTACCAAGAGCTCATCCTGTATTCAGTTTTCTTTGGAGTGTGAAAAACCAACAGAGGACAGAATTTCCCCATTGGAGTTTCATTATGTTTTCAGAGCTACTAAATGAAAAATGTATATCCTATTATACTGTAATTTTGTAATATAATGCATCTTAAGCATGTTTTGATACTACCAGGTTATTAGTATTTTATGGAATTTTCTTCCACCATTTAAAAAGTAATACTTCTTCATCTCTGATATTCAAAGACTAGGAAAAATGCAGATAAAACAGAAAGAAGACTGTGCAAGAGGCAAAGAGTTGTGTATCCATTCTGCATCTGTGCAAAGGTCATTTTCATGCACTAGAAAGCTGCAAAACCCTGCAAGATAAAGCCTGCAGCATGTAAGGAATGCTGAAACAGGCAGGCCAGAGGCGGAACCTCTGGATCCATCTGCTGCCCTCATGCGTGTAATGGGAAGCTGGAGCAGATGATGCAGAGCAACTGGGGAAAAAATCACTTCACTTCCAGAACAGGCAAATCTCCCCATTACACAACACACGTACAGTACTATACTTTGACAACATGATTTGACCTTGAAAAAGTCAAAGTGTTCTTCACAAACCTCCAGAAATGTATTATTTGTAGGGAAAGGTACCTGGTTCTTGGATTTAAAAGAATAATTCATTATTCCATGCAAAGTCCATGTTTAATTTTTTATATCTCAGTGATGTTTACTACAATTTCTGGTACAGATCTCTACTGTTTTCATATAGTTCAGCTGATCCTGACTAGATTTACTCTTTTTTTGTTTCAAAGTTCTACTAAAGCTTTCACTGATATCTGTTCATGAGGCATCTTGTACTACAGAGAAGTACCCCAGGGTATTGTATAAATTAATATTCCATCCATGAATGTAGCTAATCATTTGGCAGTGAGAAACAAGAGACTAGATTACTGATTAATTGTGATGAAGCTGAACAGGATGCTCACGTGTATGCTGAAACAGACTATTACTGTATTAGTGATGTCCTTTGCAATAGGCAAGCTGTTTTAGAAGTGTTAAGTCTAACAGCTTAAGAAATAAATAAGAACAGTGCTAAATAGTACCAGTATTTTTAGTTTAGCTAATTAAAATTTTATGACTGGTAGAGAAGATTTGAGTATATGGCATCTTCAGATTTGGCATGGGGAAATAAGAGAATTCTCAGGAGTTGAATTCTGCTATAACCTGTCATATCTTATTATGCTCTTTCCAACTCTGTCTGATTTAAAACAAAACAGACTTATAATTTATTCTTCACTAAAAAGAAGAAGAAAGAGAGTCTAGTAAATGCAGCCAGGAAGTACATCTGCAATAATATCATGATAGCTGCCAGTGACTGTTAGGAGCAATTTCATCCAATGATCATCCTAAGAATAATTGTGTCTTGCCTCCTAGGAGGAAGATTCAGAAAATCATCATAAGGAAATATTCGTGGATTTCAATAATTACCTGATCTGAAATTATCAAATGCAGTCCACATAAACACAAGAATGTGCCCTCTTAAGCACATGGACAAAAAATGTATGAGCAAATCTCTTCTATTGGAGAGCATGTGTTTGTGTTCCACAGAAAGGGATGTTCTTGAGCCTTTTCACCTGGGCTCTGCCCCAGGAATATCTCCAGCTATGTTTGTGAAAACATGGCTGCTCTGCATTAAATCTCCTTTTAAGTTTTGGATTTTATTTTAAACCAATCATCATTTTAAAAATATAAGACTTTCCTTCCTAATGAATTCTTGTGCAGTGTCGCAGGGCCACATATAGCCTGATGTCATCCTTAATTGATGTCTGCAGCAAAGACACACAGTTGTGTGAAGGACAGTGTGGCTTAGGATTGGCTCTTAGCTTTGGAATGAGGCATGGACACAACCAGTAGTTAATTCTGTAAACCTCTGTCAGACATTGTGGATCTAATAGAGATGATAGCAGAAAGAATTGACAGTCCTTTAATCCAATTTAATTGCCACCATCTTTAGCCAAGACTATTCTCAGTGTTTTCTATTTGTGGGAGAAATATGATGAATAGTGATAAGAATAGTGTATTAAATGATTTAGGAATTCAGTGATTTTGGAATATTAAACTCTAACTTTACCCAGGTGATCAATGTCTGTGAAAGAAGGCAGCTCTGGGCAGACCCTGTGTAATCTCCGAAGGGATAAAATGCCACAGTTGATTCACAAAGCACTGTGAAGATCTGGCTTGTGTTTTGTCATTGCTCCACCAGTTGGGATTTATTGTGTTGATCAGTGGATTCAGATAAGGTAATTCTGCAGTATTTAGTATTGTTACTGCAGAAGCATCTTTACATTTAAATTGAAAGAGTCCTTTAAATCTTCTCAGAGAGGCAAGAGGAAACTGGACTCTCCTGCATGACTTTGCATCTCCCCTTAAATAAACAACTTATATATCTTTGTAACAGGAACATTATCCTTGAAGGAGTGACCATATGTCACTTCCTGCTCTTCTGAATAGCTTTTATTTACTGTAGTTTTATAGAAGACACTATTAATTACAGATTTCCTTAATGTACACTTTGATTTTATAGTAAGAATAGGATAGTATAGTAAGAATAGGAGTTAAGTACCTGCAGTGTGTGCTCCTGCTTTGGAACAATCTTTTTCATTTGTTTTGCACATTGGTACTTTGTACTGCTGTCTTTTTGTGCCCTATAATTTTCTAGTCAGCCATCCTCTTATATTAGCTTCCTAAGTCCACCAAAAAAAAAAAAAAAAGCATTCATGTCTTAATTGATCCTTTGCAAATAGGTTTTAAAGAATAGCTGGTTGTGTTGCTTTTTCCTGATACTCTGCTTTATACATATGCTCCATTCCTGCCTCTCTTTACTCAATTGCTCTAAGCCTCCTTCCTTAACTTCACCAAGACCTCAGCACTCCTGACAGATGTAAAATATAGCAGTCATGTTGAGAAGAGCCTTTCCTGGGTTATTCAGTAAGTCCTCTGCATCATGTCATCATTTCAGTGCTAAAGAATTTGTGGAAAGTCTTAAATTCACCTGAGCTTAAATTAAAGGTGAAAAAGTAGGGAAAACAAAATCCCAGATCAGGCTGGTCCTGCACAAACGAAATATGCTGCCTTAGGGCTGCAGGAGTGCAGTTGTTGTCTATCAGGCTGGCTGAAATTAGAAATAGCATTCTCATTTGTCATGCACTATAATCAAATTTGATGCAGATTTGCAGACCTGGACAACAATGATTGGATGTCATTGGTTATTTTTACACTGCAGAGAGTGTAAACAGTAGTGGTTTGGGGTATCATGCAGTGGATTTTTGCCAGTGTTTCCTTTATTATCTGTAACTGGTGACATGCGGTGATTTTCTATGCAGAGCAGCAGCTGGTTTATTTTCTTCTAACTGTCATACCTGCGTTTCTTTGTGGATGCAAAGAAAATCTTTCTCAAGATAGCAACTAACAATTCAAGAATAGAAAACACTGGGTTTGATAGTTTAAGACCCACCTAGGTGCTAATCATCAGCCCTTTGAGCAATTTTAGAGCCTTCAAGTTTCACTGTCCAGGTAGTAAAGGTGACACTATGATACAATTACGGGCTTTTTTATTACTGAAGCACTAGCATTTATTTTTAATAAGTGTTCTAATCCTTTTGTGCAGACCTATATGAACTGTTTGTTCCCCAGACTCCTGCTTCACAGTTTATGGTGATGTATTCGGGCTGCAGCTGGAGCTGAATAGGAAAATGAAAATAAATAAGAATAGATGGTTTGTCACTATGGTTTGAAGTTGAACTGATGAAAATGAATTCTCTTTGTCTAGCTTTCTAAAATTTACAGTGACCATGGTAATATGTATCAGAGGCAAATCAGAACAGTTTGGAAGGGATTTTGAGAGATATTTCATCCTAATCCTAGTAGGTTGAAAAGAACTGATAATATATGAGACTTACAGGTATTTGAGATTCTTCTTCCACCTAATGTACACAGCCATCATTTACTGACTAATAGTTGCATGGTGTATAGAAAGCTTTATTTCTTTTTTTCAGGTTATTTCTAAGATCCCTCTGTGTTCATACCCATCCCTTTCTCTTGAGCTACACTTTGAATGCATACCCCCAGCATCACTGATGATATAATTGATTTCTGAAAAATATTAGGAAGACTAATTAATCTACCTTAAAATTTAATCTAAGTTAAATTATATGTTGACTTTAAGTATCCTTTTCTGTATAACTCTGTGTATGTTTTCAGCAATTCTGTTCTGAAACTGATGATAAAGGAATAGATGGATGAATTGCCCTAGGAAAAATGAATCAGGAGATCTCTGGTACAGACCAGGCTTTGTCCACCAGACTGCTGCACTAACTCTGGGGAGGTGGAGTGCATGATTTTGAAAGAAAAACACTTAAATGAAAGTAGAATGAAGCTGGCAGTAAGTGTGACTAGCTGCCTAAATGTGATACCTAAAGAATTACAAGAATATGTTCCAATGTCACTTTCAACTTCAAAGTATTTTGATTCTAAAAATAAAGATGTTCAAGTAAGAAAAGAGTTAATGGCAAAATACATACTTCCTCAAATGTTTTTATGCTACTGGTATTTTTAAGAATCTTTGTAGTTAATATAATAGTTATGTTATTATAAAAGCATGATATTCTTGACAGCCTCCAGAGATTGTCTTAATGTTTTGTGTAGTGGAAAATAGCAGCTCTGTTGAGGAAACGAAACTCACTATTAGATGTGCTCTCCAGCAGTGTAACAAATATTCAAGTGTAGTAATCAGAGAAAGTAAGAGATTGATCAGGATTTGTGTCCAGTTAAAAATTTACATTAATTTCCTACTTAGAATGGACTAAGTCAAATCACACATTGATTTTCCTAACAATAGGCAAAAAACCTATTCGATTTTAGATAAAATATTATTATCACCATCACATAATCTAGTAGACAGTGTTTACTAGGGTGTACAGTGTCTACTATGGCAAAGTTAATTTTTGTTTCTTTTGTTCCTGTGTGCTTCTTACTTAGCAATACAGTGTTCTATGGTTGAGTCCCTGCTAAAATGTATCTCAAAATAATTGTAATGAAATAAAAGAAAATCCAACTAGGAACTATAATTCATAAGGTCTTAAAAGTTTACTTTGTTTTTGTGCTCCATCTCTCAACTCCAGTGGAGTAACTGATCAGAAATGAAATGTCTGCTCTTCTTATAGAATAACTAAGCAATGAGTTGTCTCTTCCTCAAGCCCTCTGCTCCCCAAATTAATCATGATAATAAACCCCTAATTTATTACCCATAATCAACTTGAGATATATTTGCACCTGTAAGAGTTCCAGGTTACTCAGGGCTGCTGTATAACCTCTGAAGGTGCTGGATGCTTTCTTAAGAGCAGGTACCACATCCTCATTATCGTTATTATCCGGTAGGCAAAGGTTTTTTGAGGAGTATGTCCTTTTTCATATCTCGGCATGGAACCTTCTGTTTGCCCACTATTAATCTCCTGTTTACAAGAGCATTAGTCCTCAATTTTTGTGGTTCCTTTGTAAGTTTAGGCCTCAACATGAGGATAAACAGTTCTGCCAGAACAGACTATGGCACAGCCCTTCTTATTCCAAAAAGGAAGTTACTTCCTCCTTGACCTTTAAAACACATACTTGCTAAAGCTTTACTTGACTGAAATGTGTGGGGTTGCTCCTCACATCAGACTTGCTAGGAAACCTGAAGTATTTCTGTAAATGCTTGCGTTAGAATGCTGCTTATTGATTCAGAGTGAATACATGGGTTTGTGGGTTAGCCCAGGAAAATTGCTGCAGTGTGGTGCAGTGGTACAGCAGCTCACTGCCACCTCTTGGCATTAATCCCAAGGGTTGAATCTTATCACAGCCAAGCTTTGCAGTACTTTTAAGCCCTACTGTGTAAACGACTTGAGAAAATTAACTGATCTCTAACTGTAGATCTCAAGGACATTATAATAAAATAATGTAGTAATATAAAAATGTACAGTGAAGTATAAATGGCAGCTTGTATAATACTCTTGTACAGGAATTGCATCTCAATAAGCAGAGAGAATGTGTTTGGAATGCTATGGAACCAAGTCATCACAACAAGATCAATTAGAGGTGATTGAACTCAGAGGTCTATTTCAATTACTTTAGTAGGAAGCATTAATATCTTGAGTACAGCTTCTAGGAAATGTGCTGTATTAGCTGTAACTTTCTTTCACAGACTTCTAATAACTGAACAGATAATTTACTGAGTGTGTTATAAAAGACTGCATATCTTAAAGCAAAATAATTAAATAGAATATTAACTGTTGAAAAATTCAGTTTTTAACACAGCACTAGAAATTCTTTCATGCCTAACCCAGGCCACTTCTTCTTTAACTTTTAGAAGACTTTAATTTCTTATTTTAGCTGCTTAAAAACTCTATTTGCATGACTGTGGCAGCAATTGTAGAAGAACAGGAGAGAGACCAATACTACAGAACTTGCAGATAGAAAAAACACATACTGAAATACAAAGAACTTTCTTTTCCTTACTTCCTGCTGCAATAATTTCAGCTATTTTTGTTATAGAAAGTTCAGAGTTAACATCAAGTTGCTTGTAGTGTGTGATAAGAGAGAGAAGTATTTTGCTGCACATGTAGATGTCCTACATAACACCTTTGTAGCCCAGTTTCACCATTTTTTTAGGAGTTCTAGCTCTTTGCAAGACTAGCAAGGGAAGAAAAATAAAAAAGAAAAAGCTTTTTTTCTCTGCAGAGATGAAGGGTTCAACAGAGCTACAAAACAAGTTGGAATATTTTCTAGTCCTTTGTGAGAATTTCCATCTCAGCCATGTAGGCTTGGGGCAAGTCGCCTCAGACATGTTCAAACACACCTGCAGGTCCTGAAAAGTGGCTGTGACTACAGCCTGGCACTGCTCAGTCCCTTCTAGCCAGGCAAGGCAGCACCCAAAGACTGAAACAGCTTCAGCTCAGCATCCCTCAGGGCTGGGAGGGATCCCAGCAGGAAGTTCTGGAAACACTCAGCTCCCTGTGCCTCTCTGGGTGCTGTGCCTCCAGTACTGGAGCAGCACAGTGGGTGCAGGAGGCCTGGCCAAACTGGGATTCTGAGAACCCCCTTGGATTCTGAGAACCCCCTGGGATTCTGAGAACCCATGGTGTCACACTGGAGAGCTCTACACTGGGAGCTCATTAAACAATGGCATGGTAGCAGCTGCATGATTACTCACAAAGCACTTAGAATATTAATGACGTCTCTTACTGTAGGTGAATTTTCTTCATGATTGTATCCAGCTTGTGCAGAAACATTGTCTGTGTTCCCTGGAACTGTGCTGCTTCCACCACCCTTCAGCACAGATATTCTAAGAATTTGGACTAAATCCTAAAGAAGAGGGGGAAAATACCCAAATTGTGACATAATTCCTGATATAAGATATTAAGCTGCTAACCAAAAAGGAAACTATTCATGGAATACTTAGACTAAAAGTAGCATTACAAATAAAAGTACCCAATTTAATCTGCCAAAATACTTTATCACATCAGTTTATTTTTTGTATCATGGGGCTTTGAGCAGCCTGTTCCAGTGGAAGGTGTCCTTGTCAATGGCAGAAGGACTGGAACAAGATGATCTTTAAGGTCCCTTCCAACCCTGGTCTATTCCTCTCGTCTTTGAGCTATGAGACCAAAATACAGTCTTTCAGATGACACAGCTTTAGAACTGCTTTTTGATTTGAGACTTTTCATTCTGGTGGTCCAAGATCAAAACCATTGCTCTGTTCCCTAGGGTGTTTGACACTACCAGCATGATTTTCTTCTTGAAATTGTGCTCTCTGCTGTCAGTCTTTCATGGCTGTATTGTCTTCTGTGCCCTGAATATTTTTCAAGATGCCTACCCAAGGAGACTTTCTTTTACTGTAGAAATCATTACAACAGTGTCATTGTTCTATCTTATTTCCCCCCATACCCTTTATGTAATCTCATACCTTCCATACCATTCAGTAATCTCATAATTAGTTATGGATGATTTATACTTGCACCTCTATTCCAGACACTGCCTTTGTTCAGGATTTTAAATGTTCTCTCAATATTCCTAAAACAGAAATATATGACCTCTAAACCAGAAGTCTTTATACCTTCTCTATAGCCTATTACTTCCTTTCACAGCCACTATAGAAAAGAACACTTTTTTGCCTGTCCTTCAGGCCTGCAATTAGCATTTACTTTATCATATGCCTTCTTAAATGTATCATACTTTTCTGTATCATATCTAAGGAAGTAATCTTATTTTACAATTCTAATTAAGTTGTGTCTAATTTCTGTAATGTTTTCTCCGACCTTAGTGAATACAATTTCTCTTTTCTTGTAGCCACTCAGGCTACCACTACAAAGATCATATTCTTACTCCTCTGGTATAAGATTATCACATCATCAAAGCACTGCATCCTTTTCCATTAACAGTAATAATAATAATAATTTTTAAAATCTGGTTTTTAAAGTGAAAACCTTAAAAGTTCTTAGTCTCCTATTTTATTTATTATCCAGCAACCACCTAGAGATACAGAACTTTGATCATTCATTTATTATTATATCTAGTAAGCAGGTTATGCCTCCTCCTGTGCTGGCTCTTACATGTAGGAAAAGGTGTGAGGAAACACTTGAAAAGATTTATCTATGTCCCGCATATAAATTAAGAAAATTTTATTTTTCCCTACGACCTACCACCCCCTGCTCCCACAAAGGAAAAAAGAAAATAAAGGCAACTGAAGTGCTAATACTGGTGCTCATTATGACTGACCTTATATCAGTGTCTTCCTGTTCTCCTGTGCAGGAGAGCTGTTGGCTTTTCCCTTGGAGCTGAACCAGGAACTTGCTTGGCAGTGGAAAACCTGACTGTTCTGTGTTTGACAATCCACTGCAGCTATTCTGTCTTGTACTTTGTAATATGAATAGTAAACTGTGGTAGACTCAAGTAATTTCCTCTGACTTGGCAAACTACCAGCACAGGGAGGTGGAATGCATAGATTCCCCATGCTTCTTGTGAGAGAGAAGAGGAAGAAGTATAATACAGCTCTTCAAATCTACTTCAGGTCATTTTTCCTATTATACTAATAATTTCTTTTGTTCACTGCAATTATGTAATTAAAACTAAATTTCTATCTTTCTCCAATAGGAATTAGTAAAAATATTTATGAAGTATAGGAAATTATCCCACTTCCTCTAGAAGCAGCACAAATTAATTACTTTTAGATAATACCGTAGATAGGCAATAAAATAAAAAATATATTAAAACCAGATTCTACCCAGATTTTCAGCTTCTGTATGCACATCCATTGCCTTAAATTATTTAAATTACTTTGGAGGCATGACTGTAAGCTCTCTAGGGAGATGAATGAGAACTTCAGGAGTTAGTTGAGGCTTTTATTAGAAACATGGAGGTGAAGTGAGTTGGGCATAGAGAGTACCTGTGTTTCCTGGTGCAGGATCCCCTGCTTATTTGAAGTTTTAACACTGCTGGAGAACATGCGAGTTAACCTGAAACTATTCCACACTCCCAAATAGTTTTACTACCTTCTTTCTTCCTTTATCATTTTTCCCACTTTTAGAGTTCAAATATCCCCCCCACATATATTACTCCAAAATTATTTACTACATTTCCATCTACCTTGCTTATAGGCCTAAGTGATTTTTTTGCCATTGTTCAGAAAAGGTAAGTTTCTGCTTCTATAGGACTTCAATATAAGGACTGTTCACCAGTGACACAGCTGTGTCAAAAGTGAGCAATTTAATTTCAAATTAAAAGAATTTTGTATTATCTGTACTCTAACAGATGGTACCCTTACTCATTTTGTGAGCATGAATTACTATGAAGCTTAAAATAATTTATTCACTCTTAGAACTGCAGCCAATAACTTATTATCTAGCTACTAGAGTTTTCACATCTATCAGCTTAACCAGTGATCCAGCTCTTGGAACATTATGTTCATTTTGTGATTCTCCTGGGAGGACTTAAGGTCTCGAACCAATGGATGAACACACATTTCTTTCATTTCTAAAATGATACTATGGAGAATCATTGAAAAACTCCAGGAATTATTCAATATATTGAAATGGAGCTGTGTTGTAGAAAAGCAGTGTAATAGAAATTACTTAAGGCCCCTTCCAATTTCAAATTATGTGTTCCTAGTTTACAGTTTTTGGTGATTTTGAAGTTCCTGTAAAGCTTTGAAGACATTTGAAGGAAATTACTGTGTACTTGGGGTTTTCCTGTTCTTGGGTACATTTTGTGCTCAGCTGTTTGGGCAAATTTCAGCTGAAGTGTGAAAACAAAGTTGAAGAATGAGAAAATGCTGTTGAAGAATGACTGTAAAATAATACTAAAGCCTTTAAAAACCTTACAGGTAGGGATTTGACAAGCATACAGTAAGAGAGGTGCCCTGAGACAAATACATAGACAAGAAAACCAGGAAAAGTCAGCAGCTACTAATTCTGCAAACCCTGTGAAAGAAGCAGGATGCTGATATCCTCTTGCACCCTATGCATTGCCTATACCAGTTTATCCCAATGCTTATCCCAAGCTTATCCCCGTTGCCTTTAGGATAAGGCAATGGGCCGAAGCTGATGCACAGGACATGCAGGTGACAGAGCACATTTCTGAAATACATCAATTTACCACTTTTCAGATACTGTAGATTCTCAGAGGCCTGCAATTCAGAAGGTATCATGTTTTCTGAAGTAGTTTTCACTCCCCAGACAAAGTAATAGAAGCTTAAGCACCGTACTGACTGTTTTTTGAGACATAGGACTAAAAAACTGAACTTGATTCAAAATGCCTGCTTGGTTGTCATTTGTTGGTTGTATTCACCTTAAAATTGCTGTGGATTTTTTTTTTTTTGATTGTTTGGTTATTTTGGTTTGGTCTTTTAAAGAGAGAAATAAGTATTTCACCTTGAAGGATTTATTACTAACATTTCACTTTTGTTGAAATTAAAAGACATGGAGAGCCATATCATACATATCTATTACTCTTCTGAATGGTTCAGGTTCTGCTTAGGCAGGCACACAAAGAGGGATCTGAGAACATTTTCTTGTCTCATTTTCTGCCTGCCTGCAGTGCATCTTCCCAAAGCACATATCCTGTTGCCTTTATCTGAAACATAATGACCATAGAATGCAAGCAGAGACACTCTTTTGTTAATAGGTTGATGGAGAAGGGGAGGGGTATTCTTCTTAATAAATACTGCTTTATGAAATATACTGAGATTAAAATTGGCTTGCTTTGTGAACTCATGTTTTTCTCTAATTAAGCCATGGTTTCCCAGCTGCAGTGGCTGCTTGGGGATACCAAACTGATGTGAATTACACTGGATTTGCAGTGAAACATTGTAATACTGACAGAAATTTGTTTGCATAGTATGATAATGCAGCCTAGAAACAAAGCTAAACCAGCATGAATACTTTGATCTGCAGCTGTGAGATTCATTCAAATTTAATCATGCAGAAATTTTTACTGAAGTAAAACTTTGAATAAGTGTATTTACCTCTGAGTGGTCGTACTGAAGTGAGGTTGTTTATAACTGTGGGATAATGTATAATACAAATATAGTTCTGGCTTCCCACTGCTTATTTTTTCTCCCACTTGTGTGAAAAGAGTTCAATTTGTTGTACTTCTGCCTTGATTTCTCTGCTACAGTTTTCCAGTTAGTAGTAGTATAAAAATTAATGGGCCTATCAAAGAGATAGTAACAACTTTATCAAGATCCAATGTCCTGTGCTATTTCACATACATTTGTAGAAAATTGCTTGCTCTTTTTTTGAAAAGCTCTACCTCTGAAGGTATATCTGAAGGTTATTAATAGGCACAAGACTTGGTCAAGAGTGTAAAGAGAGTCTCAGGTGGAGATGAAAACTGAGTGCCTTTCAGCTTGGTGTCTAAGATAGGGCCCTTAATTACTACAATGTTCTGGCTCTTTACCGTAACACCAGAAGATACACAGACTCTCATCATGTGCAGCAGGAATGGACTGTATGTCCTCTCCTCACCCTTACGGATAATGTGCTCTCATTTTCCTATTTCCCCATTACTGTCACTTCATCTGCCAAAGTCAACAGTAGTTTAAATTTTCAAATTCCAACCTCGTAGTAAAAGTCACTGTCTACCTGTTGTTGCCTTATTGAAGAATTGGCTTTGAAGGAAAATTTTAATTAGGCTTAACTACAAGGTTTGATAAAGAGTTTTGAAAGATGTTGCAGTTTCTAATTAGTTGATTTTTTGCCCACTAACAGAAATCTCTTTAGAGTTAATTTTGCAGTGATGGAACTATGAGGGAAATTCTAAGGAGATTCTAGTACAAAAACCAGTTGTTGCTCGAAGCAATCAAATATCTACTTTTGAGGATTTTATTCCAATGCTTCTGATGGTACAGTCTTTCCAAATGCAGCTACTGTTTTTTTAAATTTAGAATTGTTTGTTTACTCTTTTTATTATATATCTAACTATGGTATTTCAGTTTTGAATATGTAATATAGTTTAGTGAAGTTAATTTATTTTTAAAAATATCTCTTAAAGGATAATATTCATATGATGCCTATAGAAGCATTTTCCTTAGTTGATTTTTCTGGGAAAGGTTATTTTAGAATGTAGTTAGCAGTGATGGCTTCTATTAACTCAAGCAGTGAACTAATCTGCACTTCACAAAGCAGAATCTTTTATCAGGCACAACATAGGCGTGCAAAGAGATAAGAGAAGCAGCAGGTCTCCAGGCAGTGGAAAGAAGGCACAGATGGCAAAGACTGAAGGAAGGTTTTTAAAGGTAGAAATGGCAGTTGACACATCTAACATCATCTATGCATTTAAAGTGAACCCCATGTTCTCTAAATCTCAGACATGCCTGCTGTTTGTATTCCACGTAACAGAAGCCCACCAAAAATAAAATTACAGATTTTTTTTCAAATATATGGAAGTCAGCCCAAAGAATGGTGCTAATGATCCTGTGGTGAAGTTGTGCTGATTTGTGACTTTCACACTTTTACTCTACTTTTAAAAGTTTGTCCTAGTTTGTGACTGTCCACATTTCTTCCCAAAATGGTTCTTTTGAAAATCGAGAATAAATCAAACATAGTAGCAATGTCTCTTTCCTCAAGTCACCTCTCCTTCCCCTGTTTGGTGCAGGGGCAGCAGAACAGGAGGACTGCAACTTGGCTGTCCCTGGATCCCACTGCTCAGGGGAGCTATGACCTTGGCAATTAAGTGGCTTTCCAGCTGCCAGGCACCCACTGGCTCAGGTTTCAAAGGCATTTTCACTCTCTACTTGTTTCTTACTTGAAAAATATTTTACTGTATGTCCTAAAAGTGCTCTAAACTCTTAAAAGTTATTTCCAGATAGAGAAAGGAGTTAGTTGCAACCTCATATTCTGATATTGCTCTCATTTTGTTTCATAATATTATCTAAAAATACTCTAAATAATACAGCATGTGCTTATTTCATATAACCCCCTGTTGGTTCTTAATGAATAAGTAAATATATTTCAGATCTTGCAAATAGTTGCCTAGACAATACACGTGCTGTTCTTCAGAGATGCAGCTCTGCAGTACATAAAATAGACCCTGGGTTTTATTGATCATTTAAAGAAGGAAAACAAAGGCACATGCATTGTTTCCAAGCCTTTGACATGCTGAAAGCGAGAGAGTAAGGAGAATACAACTAGGCCTTCTTTTAGTGAAGAACAGGATTGTAAGGGAGGGAGGAGAAAATTAAATCAGAGTTCTGCCATTTAAAACTGTTGTTAGTCTTAGACAGAATTCCCCATCAAATATATTTTTTTCCCTTTCTGCTGCAGTTACAGTACAAAATACTCTTCAGCATATGCACAGGAACCATTCCAAGGAGAACAAAAAATACCAATCTGAAGTAGCCAACCCAATCAAAGTTTTGTAGACTAAGGAAACACTGGCAACATAATTTATTTTAATGGACATATTAAGCTTTCACCATCTGTTCTGCCCCTAATTATGAATGCCAAAAGAACATATTTCACAGTTAAATCAGTAAGATGTTATTCATGCACTTATATGTTACTTCTACACTAACACTTCTGCAGTGTTCTCGTGCTGCCTACACAATTCAGAGCAAGCTGCTCACATCTGAAATTGAACTTCTTGGTAAAAAGTAATTTTCAATAACTGTTTCAGTGGGAGAGTTCTTAGTGTAAAACATATTTTTAAAGAATAATTGGGAGAATGAAAGCCTTTTGTTTTTGTCATAACTTCCTAAAAATCAAGACTGTGGACAAGTATATTTTTTCTGTGCTTTCATGCGTTTTATTCCCCTAGTCTGTCTAGATGCTGTACATGCTGTGTGTCTGCAGTGCCTGCTGCAACTGTTGTTCCAAGCAGTGTATCCTCACTGGAGATGGTAAAAGGGAGCAGCTATTTTTAAGAAAGAAAAATTGAGTAATTTATAATGCTCACACTATCAAGTCAAAGATCACCTAAAACAATAAAAAATGCTACAAGTGACACTTATTAGTGTTTATGTGGGAGAAGCAAAGGATGTCTTGAGTGTAAGTACAACAAAAACCCTGAATTCTTCTCCCTGCATGAGGCATCTCTGTTCCTTCCTTGGTCAGCTGCAAGGCTGTGCCAGCTGGAGCTGTGTCCAACACAGGAGATGAGTGTTAGCATTAACTGCTATGGTACCACCTGACATTTAGTGGAGCAGTCTGTACCATCCTTTATCCTGCACTTCAGAAAAATAAAATAGATAAATACTCTCTTTTATTCTTCATATACCATGTCTTATTTTGGATTAGCAATTTAGTCCTTCATGTTTGCTTGGACTTCCGAGCGTGGTAGTTGTGTGATGCAGAAGAATCTTAGTGCAAAAGAGGGGAATCATCAGAGTGTTATACTTGTGCCCAAGGTGCACAGCTATCATCCAAGCAGTCTGGAAAGTACAGGGTATCTTTAGCAATACAGTACAGAAAACAGTAAAATGGAGTGGAAAAAATATAATTGGTATTTATATGGTTTGCTGATACTGAACAGCAAGAAACAAACTCGGCAGAGCACTGGAGTCTTACAAAGGATCTGAATTTTCTGCTGGAATACAGTTTATATTCCTGTAAAGGGTGGAAGGGATCACCATTTTCACTTGGTTCTTTTGCAAGAAGTTAAATAGATACAGACTTTTTGAAATAAAACCATGTAGAGATTGACCCTGTCCTATAATTTTTTCTAACTGTATAAAATTTATAGGACAAACGAATCAAGATATGTAGATTATGAAGGGCTGCCTAGAGACAGGGGGAATCAAAGGGATCGCCAGCATTCTAGAGAATTTTCTAAATGAAAGGAGGCAGGAGATGCCAGGAAGTAATTTTTTTAATGGAATCAGAAAGGGAACAGGAATTCTTTGTTATTCTAACCTGGGGGAGAATTCTTCCTTTATCCACACAGGCATAAAACCAAAGTTCTCCAATATCCTGTAGAAACTTCAGCTTGACAGAATATATCAGGAAATATCCTTAAAAATAATTATGATTTGAAATAAATGAAACCTACTTGTCTCTGCAAATGACTAGAATTTAGTTCTGCTACAATCTGACATGACACCCGAACATGCTGAAG